TTCCGCACATTTCCCTTTTTTTCGCTCCTACCCCCACAAACAGGGATATCCTAATGAAGGTGAGACCTGCACATTTTGAAGGAAAACAGTCAAGAGCACAAAGAATTTGGCACATATATGAAAGAGTCCCAACATATTGTTTATACCAGATATGCCAACTAACCATAAGGCATTTGTGGAATTGGCGGCGCAGTCGCATACGGATTCGGAACCAAAGTCGTCAACGCTCTGAAATAACGCAAAGTGAAGGTTAACAATACTTCCTTACATATCTTGTAAAAGAACTCATGATGCAACTTACACATTGGTAGTCCTTTCGCTGGTCACATACGATGGAGCCAGGGTCTCAACTCCTACTGTATCCGATTTCGTGGGCACCGTTGAGACTACGGTAGCGAGCACTTTTGACTCTGTTACAATCGTACTAGACGCATACGGGTTAGAAGCCGGTGTCAGTGACGGACTTGGCGATGCACTAGGCTTCTCTTCTTTTGAAGAAAGCGGCGAAACACGCGGTTTCTCCTCTTTCGACTCTGGTGCAATTTTAGGAGCAGAGGACAAGGAGGGGGATGGGGATGCCTCCGAAACGGATGGTTCAGAATTAGCTGTCTTCGCATTCAAAGGCTTCAAAGGCTTCGACTCAGATGCTTCCGCAGCCAGGGGCTTTTTCTCAATGGTTTTCGGATCGGCCTTCTCTGCAGAAGCTGACACTGAACTTTTTGGAACCGCGGCATCCACGGGAGCATCAGCTTTTGGAGCAGTAACTGGTTTCGGTTTCGACTCCATATTGACAGCACCATTGTCCTGAAAAAAGTATTTTTCTTGTGCAATGAACGTCTAATGCTATATGTACCTTGAGAGGGGTAGATTTTGCAACTGCCTTAGGCTTTCCTTCAAGATTTTCCTCCATACGCGGTTTCTTAGCTTTGGGTTTGAGATCTAAAAAGGCAATTTAGCATAGCAAACTGCAGTAATGAATTACCTAAGTCGTTATCAGAATCCATGTCAGACTCCTCATCTGATTCATTTTGTGGAGGAGGCACATCAGCTGCCTTTTTGACAACGGATGAAGATGAAATTCTGCTTGGAAATGGTGGCGCCCTTCTAGGTTGGGTGTCTTTATCCTGATCCTCTTCCTCTTCCTCGTCTTCCTCATCCTCATCATTTTCAGCTTCCTCATCTGGTTCAAAAACATCCGATTCGGAATCAGAACTGCAACCAATTCATTCAGTCAAAAAGCATGAAAAGGATATATGGGTGAGAACTGACGTTATTTTTCTTTTCTTGGCTTTCTTGGGATCCTCAGCTTCCTTCTCAGCAACAGGCTCACCATTTTCCGTTTCCTCATCTTCGCTGCTATCTTCTTCGTCCTCTAGCTCTTCACGAAGCACAGCTTTCGATTTCACCACTGCTTTTCGGAGAGGTCTAAAACATTTAAGCTTCATTATCTCAAAATCCAGAAAATGAAAGAATGAAATTTACCTTCCGGCACGCGTCCGAGGCGCATCACTGTCCTCATCGTCCTCTTCCATCTGCACTTCATCGTCTTCATCGTTTGTCTCTTCATCACTTTCCGGTTCAACGCGCCTCCTCTTTTTCCTTTTTGCTTCGGAATCATCCGAGTAGGTCGTATCTTCATCATCTTCCTCTTCATCAGAATCATCATCCGAATTCCTGGAAAGACTCTTATTTAGCAGAGATTCTTAATTCTTCAAACGCACCATCTTGATC